CAGAAGAAGACACAACCACACTCCGTACCTTTATTTCAGCAGGTCCCATGCTGTTAGTCTCTGGCTCACACTCACCCTCTTTCCTTTGCTCCCTCACTGCAAAGCGACTCAGCTTCTAATGAAGCAATTCTTGCCAACTTTTACTTAAGGTATTTGCTTGATGCCATGCTTGAAAACTACAACTCCTTTTGCACAGCCAACATATATGGGGGATTTGATTCAAACTCTACTCAGCGCGGGGAGCTTGAGCAGTCTGGATGGCACAGGGCTAGTGAGCTGCTGCCAGCTGGGACTCATGCCAACGTACACAAGTGGACTCAAATATCAGTATGCACGGTGCTCACAGAACATCCACCACGCACTCAAAAAATATGGAACCTGCCAATCCGGGATTTCTATCAATGCCCATGAGCTTAGCAAGCACACTGCAAAAACAAGGAAGCAGAAGAGAGCTTTCTCTACCCCGTTGGACATAATGTTCACACGATCCTCAAGAGATACAATGTGACTTGGTGTCTAGTGGCTCAAGGGCAGAACCTATGAGAAGCAGATCCTGGTTGGAAGTTTTTATGGGCTAGAGACAGCCCCGTAACTCCCCCGTGTGATCCAGTGGGAGAAACATGGAATGTGCTTCCAAGAGAAAGGCCGGGGGTGCAAATCAGCATCAATCCATCACTGGGCCCTACGGTCATGACCCAAGTACATCATCCCCATCGGGGGACCTGGTGAACAGAAACATCTTCACATACGAACATACGACAGGCTATTGTCTCCTTACCTTTCATGATTCTGTCGGCCTCCTTCTCACCTCTGTAAGAAAGGCTATTTTAACAGCACTTTGGCATATCCAACACACTCTACCCACACAGCAAAGTGAGAGAGAATGCAGTGAGGTGGGGGCTGGAGGGGGAAGGGGGGCTTCAATGCGTGGATGTTGCAGACTCTCCTTTGAAATGGAGCAGATGCTATGGAACTCTAAAGACATTCAGTTTGCAATCAAAACCACATTTACGTAAAACCGACATTGAAATAACTAACAATCCCTGTAACTCAGTACAGTGAGACAGCGGAGAGAGAGAAAGAAGTCACCCCAGAATTTAAAGACTGCTATAAAGCTACACAAGAGATAATCCATACAGTGAAAACAAAGACTTGACTTTCTTTAAATGTGGCTCCTGGCTACCCTCGGTGGTATTAGCAAACAGAACCAAAATTCTTTAGCAAAAAGAGCAAGTATTTTTGCAGCCCCAGGCAAAGCCTTCAGCAGCGATCTGCTTCCTCTGTCCTTTCTAATTCTTCCTTGACTAACAGTGAACAAGGTCTCACCTGGAACTTCAGGGGAGAATCTTGCAGAGTGTCGAGACACAAAGAGTTTCAGTTCCTGGTCCAAGTTGCATTCAATCAGGTTGGTATCCCAGGATCGGATTCCTAAGAAAGGAAAGCAAGACAGTTGACAAGCTTCCAGAGCGGTTTGGAAACACCACTGTAACAGTTCTCAGGCTTGAGGGGAGGATGTGGAAACTTTTTTGAGAAGAGCCCAGTGACCAGCAGGGCTGCCCACAAAATGGGAGGGCAGCCGGGAGGGCTCTCAACCAGGCCTCAAAGGACAGATAACTAGCAGTGTGGACTGAACTCCTGCCCCTTGTAAAATCTAAGTGCAGCTTTTCTGGAAGAGCAAAAGAAAACAGTTATTAGGAAAATGACAGACTCCGCTTGAGGGAGGAAGTAGAAAAGGCACAAAGATGGTCTGTTCTTGAGCAGTTTAAAAAGTTTAAGTATCTCCAGCTTTCCCATGGCCCCCTTGTACTCGGTGGGAAAATGTCTAATGGGGGTAGAGAAGGGATTAGGAAGAGGGGGTGGGACTTTTGTTTATAAAGCCCTTTGTTTGTAAAATGATGTTCTTGGTAGTCACCGTCTAAGGTACAACAATGATTGGTCTCTCTGTACTGAGGGAAGGACAGTGAAGATGGTCAAAGATCCACAGTAACAGTCCAATGGACTAATGGACCTGGTGAACAGCAGTGCCCACAACCCTGAGACCAGGAGAGCTAGGTGGTGCCCGGCAACCACTACCAGCTGCTTCGAAAGGGATCACATTGGGAGGTCCTAAATAGAGTGCAGCACAATTCAAGCAATCATTAAAAAGGCCAGGCTGATTGAACAGTCAGATATTGGTGGAACTCCTGAGACCATGGCCTTTGGTCACCCTTCAGATCTGGAACTGAACTTACCCCCATGGCTCAATTTTCCATTGAGCCATGAATAGGTCTGGTGGGGGGAATAATAAGAGAACAGCACTAGGGAGGTATGCACACCTTAGAATAAGCAATGATTAGAGATCAAATGTTGACTGAGTGAGAGTTCAGAGGGCTGAGAAAGAGGGCGTGGGGGGCACTGGGAAGAGGTGGGATACGTGAGGTTGCATTGTGGGAATTTACAATCAATGGCATGAAACAGAATGTGTATGAATTGCTGAGTGGAAAACCCATCTGCTCTGTAAAGGGGCAGAGAACCCTTCCAATAAAAAGTTTAAAAATAAATAAATAAAATTCAAAGATGGCCCTATGCCATGGACATTTATTGTGTTTGTATTGATTCTGGACTTTTTTTTACTCAGCCTAGGTTGTACCTTGGTGTCTAAATCCTGGGGGTATTCATTCCATCCAGAATGTGTGCGCTTGGTTAGAAGGCTGGATCTGCATCTTCAAGACTTGGCCTGCCCATCCTCTCAGGCATATACTTGACCGGAATGACTTGGCAGGCAGCTCTTGCATTTACAATTGTTAGTTGTGCGGAGTGTTCTTATCCAGAGGCAAAGAAGTTTGGCATTTAAAAATTGTG